CCCCAAAACCCCAAAACCCCAAAACCCCAAAACCCCGAGATATTTTAAGAGAATAGAATAGGATTTTATAAGAATAAGATGGGGATTTATGGTAGGGAGCATTTTGAATCGTAGATTGTGGAATAGCTGTATTGTTAGTGAAGGAGATACCGGAGAGGGGCTGGTAAAGAAGCATGAAGAGAAATGCTAGGGTGTTAAAATATTTAGAGTACCTCATATTTCTAGATTTTCTGAGTTTCTGCAACCTTCTTTTTAATTTGTTTCTATTCCTATTTTTATGACAGATAGATGTATTTTTGAGAATCTTCTGTTCTACTGTGTGCATTTTTGATATTAGCGTTTTATTTAATAAAATGGCTTTCTCATTTTTGGTATTCTTCACCAAGATTAAAATATTCTAAAGATAATCCTAACAGTATACTGAGTAGATTCTTATATAATTTAGACGATTTCTTTCATTTTGAATTGAGAAAAATTTCTTTCCAGACTCTATACACATTATCACTACTCCATACATTCTTATATCCACCCATTCAATTTCTGGCTGGTTCTTTAGACTCTTAAACATCTTCTGCAGATGATCTTTTTCTTCTTTATCCATATCTGGTCTAATATCATGATACACCTCCTTTAAACCCTCACTAATTTACCTTCTCGTTTCACTCATAAGAGCCATGAATACATACCCAAGAAATCTCTTTTTTCCTTTAATAAACTCCTTCTCGACGCCTCCAACACGCATCCCCTAAAAATCACAATTGAATCAATACGTTCCGCTTCTTCTCCTTCTTAGTTCTGGGCAACTTCCCTGCTCCACTCCTCAAACCCCTCTTCCCAAACCCGCCTTCGTCTGCTCTTCTTCCACTCTTGTTCTCAAAGCTCTTCCCATCAGCTCTGAGCCTAGTAAATTACCAAAAATGCTAAACCTGGTAGAGCCCTTCGGGTTATTCCCCGAACAACTTTTCCATCTTATCTCTTCCATTGTAAGGTTTTCTTCTAGAATTCATTGTCTCACTACTGGATTTTCTTTAATAGCTTTCGAAATTTGCCTGATTATTGGAAGTTTCTAAAGAAAAATGGTAAAAATTCGGAATTTTAAGTGGGAATTTTGAGGAAATTTGGTACCAAGTTAAGGGAACAAGGGGGTTTTGGGGATTTTGAAGGGTGTTGAGGTGGAGAAGTTTTTGGAGGTTTTATGAAAGAAGGGAGATTTTGAGGATTTTGAGGATTTTGGGGATTTTTTGGGGTTTTGGAAGGTTTGGAGGAAGGGGTGTTTTTAGGGGGATTGGATAAGCTATTTTTGGCAGAGAAGAAGGAGCTGTCACTGATAGACTCGGATTTAGTGTCTCTATAGAGTGAGGATGAGAAGTACTCTTGGAGATCGAGGATGCTCTGGTCGTATTTCATAATTCTAGTCTGGCTTCGCTTGAATTTTACTCTTTGAATAGGGATGTTAGATATAGTGTTGGTTCCTGTTAGATCATCTAGAGCAACTCCTCTGAAACTGCATTTTATAGGAACAATAGGATTTTTGAAGCTCATATATTGATTTCTTGGGAGTAACAACTTCTTTTTGTCTTTCTTGTCTTTGTCTAAAACTATGATCCTTGAAGTTACCATCTACATAGATTCTATAAATGTAAGAACATGAACTACCTTTTAATTATAGGGCCAAATTCAGGATTTCCTTGTTGGGGAAGATCATTAATTTAAATCTTTCGAGGCTATGAGTCAGAATATTAAACTCACTGATTCTCTTCTTCTGACTGAGTCTTCTCTTTATTGGGAATATAAAGTTGCTACAGTACATATGGCATAGGATACCTTTTGTTGTTAGAAGTGTGTCTTCTCTGAGGACTGCCTTTGTCTTGTGAAGGTCTTATATCCTCAGTGCCTATTGTATTACTCTCTGATGATTACCTCCAAATGTATTGAGCAGTTGAATACTCTGATTAAATTCAAATTTCTAAAGTTCAGGTTTGGAAATACCTGAGGGTTGTTTTTGATGCTGGACTTTTTCATAGAGTCTTGAGCCCGCTGGGAGAACTTTGCCCTTTTGCTAGAAGAAATTTGATAATTCACCAATAGAATTATTGTAAATTAGAATTTTGGATCGAATAGGTGTATATTTTGGGAGAAAATATGTGCTGATGTTTTTCTAGATTTACTTTCTCTTCCTCTTATTTCTTCTTTTCTCTATTTAATGAAGCTGCTTTGGAGAGAGTCTTGTGTTTTTCCCTTGCCTTGCTGATCATTTCTGAGATATCACCGTCTTCATTTTTATCTAGAGTTAGGGGTTTAAATTACTATGAATGATTTTGTCAAAGATGAATTTCCATGAAGAACCTGACTTGTTGTCTTCAAACTTTAATTTCTCAATTCTGGGCACTAAGAGGAAGGATAAGGATGATGAAAGATATAAATTTTCAAATATGTATAACCCACATACCATCGATTTCCACCGATCTCTCTGTTGTTCTGCCAAATGTTGTATATATGGTCTCTATAAGTCTAATTAGCCCTCTATAATCCAAATTGTTCACTCTATCAACACTTGTGGTCGGAACGTTTAAGGACTATCTATCCGATGACTCTTGACTAAGTAATAGTTCTTACTGTCCATAATTTTCAATTATTATATAATACCATGGGGTTTTGGGGTTTTGGGGTTTTGGGG